TTTTTCCCCTACGTTTCCAATATTCTGCTGTTTATTCCTGCAATACATTCCTGCAATAAAGTGCAGGAAAACAATTTTGAGGGGCTATTTAATTTGAGGGTGTGTGTACTGAGCAGCAGAGCTGCAAGTTCCTCTGCCCGAGTGTCTCAGGGCTGGAGACATGGGTGGGAAAAGATGATCTACAGATATCTTACGGTAAGTTTTTTACTCTCATGTGAGTGGAAGACCTGCTTTTCAGGGAATTAGCACAAATGACAGAAAGAGAGAGGTGGATAGAAGGCAATTTCATTAATAAATAAATCAACCAATCTCTCCTTCCCCGGGAGAGTGTCTGATACACACTGGGGCATTGAGCCCTACAGCAGAATGCTTGCAAGGGAGCACCATTACCAAAACCCCTCTTCTCTCTCCCTGCCCAAGACCTGTGCAGACGAATAATTGCCATGTGGGTGTCCCTGCCATCACTTGCAGCTGCGTTTGGTGTTTTCTCGCCTTGTTTAAATGGTGCCAGCAGTGGTGGGGAGACACGACCCCTCGCTGCTCTTGAAGAGCCATGAAGTCATTGGGTTTCCTTCTGCTACTTCTCCTGCATCAACACCTGGAGTAGATTTAGGACCGAGTCATCTCGTTTTCCTCCTTTGCAGTCAGCGGCCAATGCGAAACCCTGTTCCCACTTGGAGGTTTTGCTGTGTGGAGGGAAGGGGGCTGGGAGATATCCTCTCAAAAATGTTAATACCCACTTCTTGGTGCAGAGATTTCTCAGGTCTGCAAAGCCCTGGCAGGTTCAGGAGTTCACTGGCAAACCTGGTAGGCGGCGAGGTGTCCCTTCAGCATCACGTGAAACAGCTTCCCAGGCTGGGCACCAGGGGAAGCGTCGTCCTGAAGATGGAGGGAGGAAACTCACGCCCTTTGGCCCCCCAGACCTCCTGCTCCTGGGGAGGGTGACAGCACAGGGCCAGGCAGCAGAGACCTGGCGAGCAACATGGGCACCTGTGTGTGAGAAAGCATCCTCCTCCTGGGGGGAGGCAGGTGCAGGCAGGGAGCTCAATCCTCAGAGATGGAGCCAGGTGGGGAGAGATTTTCTTCCTCTCTGCTAAAAGCTCTTTTGTGGCAAAATAGCCTGTGGGTCCTGGCAGAAGATTATTTTTTCTTTCTTTGAAAAAATAGCAGGAAAAATGTGCAAGCTTTGCTGCTTTCAGGTGACCAACTTCTCTCTCCTCACCTTTCTCCTTCCACAGCTGGCAGTGGCAAAGGTGATGCTGGTGGCTGGAGTGAGGGAGCCCAGGAAAAGCCACTTCTCTCCTTTTTTTTTTTTTTTCCATTTTTTTCTTTTTCA